GCTTAAGATTCATCGCAACGTTGATGATCATCCCAACATAATTCGATTCCTTGGAGTGAGTAAAGGTAAGCATTGAGTTGTCGTTGCGGGGGACGCTTATTGTTCTATGAAATTAACGGAGACTTAATGACTAGATACGATCAATAGATATGTAATGGTCTTCAATTACGCTGACGGTGGTTCGTTACGATCTTACTTATCGGACCCGTCTGTTGAATTGGACTGGCCCACAAGATGCAAACTTGGTATCAATATCGCTAATGGTCTGAGGTATCTTCACGGGCGCTGTATTATACATAAAGATTTGGTAATTGTAGATGTGCAGAAACAATACTATATGTTCAGAACCTTTTATAATAATTGACAATTTTATTATTATTTAGTCTTCACATAATATATTAATTCATGCCGGCGTGGCGAAGATAACAGACTTTGGTTTGTCTGACCTGATCTTACAACAAAAAATCCATTCAAACATTAAAGGAACCCTTCCATATCTTGACCCCAGATGCTTATTTGATCCTTCTACTAAGCATGATGAAATTCAGATATATTTAGCTTTGGAGTGGTATTATGGGAAATCTCTGGCGGGAAGAGACCCTTCAGAATTATAATGACATTGTAAATTATAGATTAAATGGTAGTCGAGACATACCAGTTGCAGGAACTCCTGAAGCATATATCACAATATATTCAGAATGTTGGGATGATACTCCTGAGAAAAGACCATCTTGTGTGCAGATTACTGATAGGTTAAGCATAATAGGTCAACTATTAACAGTTTCATACTCAAACCATTCATTTTCTGATAAGTTGTCAAATAAATGCCAAGAAGAATTATTAAAAGGAAGAAGTCAAGATCAGATTGCTAACTCAATTAAAGACTGGTTAGCACATAATGGATGGTATCAACAGAGTTACTCACCTGTTAAAAGGCTCAAGGATCATGTTGATTGTGGGCAATGTTGTTGGCTACTTGGTTTTTTTTGTGAATATGAAATAACAATTGGAAAGGATCTTAGTCAAGCAATCTACTGGTATAAATTGTCAGCAGAAAAAAAATCATTCTTTTGCACAATATAATCTTGGTCATTGCTATAAACACAGTGGTACATCCTACATTAAACCAGTAATAGAAGACATGAAAGGATTGTCAGATTTTATCGGCAGTATTCTCGCTTAGTTGGGAGTTCCCAATCTTTTAAGTACGCAGCATATCTTTCCCCATATATAGAAATCTTTTGTTCAGTTTAGTAAAACGATAGAAGATATATGAGCAGTCGTAGTTTTCCGCGATGAGCATTATTTGTCCTTTGGAATAGTTTTTTATATTCTAATAAACAAAGCGTTATAAATATTAAATTTATTCGTTATTTCCCTGGTGAATTCTCGAATCGGCGAACAAATTCGAACTTGCCATCGAATTTGTAGAACTTAAGCATCAGGAACGCGTTTTGTATAGAAAACTTTCCCGACCGAAAGACTTTTGACTTGAATCCATCGGAAGATATTCGACATAGTACTCGAGGTTGGATAATAATCTAGAGCAAGCGTATAAAAGACCGATCTTGCATCTGAAAACCAAACAAAGGTCACTAACTGTCATTTAAAGGTTTAGTGTTAGTAGAATAGCTTAAGGTTCCATCTGTAAGATGCTAAATCTCAAGGCCGTTACGTGTATCGATCGATTATTATTTTATCTGAAGGGCAATAATTATAAAAAAAGCCTTGATATTTCTTAAATAACTCCCGCACGATATCAGTAGGCTGGGATCCCACCTTAATAGTACCGATAAATTTATTTGTGATATATACTGTAATAGCTCGATTTTTCTACATGTTTATATATTTTCTCGTTACATTTTACAGTGGCATCTGCAGGATCGTAAACAACGTCATTTATGGTGTTCAAATAAACCCTAATATGATCTTCGGGTCGAAAATATGGCAGCAGGGGGTCTAGCAAGAATATACTTAACAGACGCGACGGTAAATTTTATAGTCTACCTATCTGCACTGTAAACTCACTTTTATCCTTGCTATTCTATCAATAGTTACCCCTCGACAGAAGCAATCCAATCCCTCCACCACCGGGAATTGTCGCTCGGCGCAACGTCCTACCAGTAACTTTTGATGGAATAACCAGATTTTCCGTTGTGGAATCCAGAGGATATAACGTCTCCTTAAACGGTCACCTAATTTTCGGGTTAAGAACCCAAGTACAGCAATGTGTAATCCTTGGTGAAGAATGCGATTTCAAGCTGTCGTATCTTCATGTCTGTATCTGTGGTAGAAGGAGGTGACATTGTCAACACGGTATTAGAGTCAATATACACGTAAACAATACCATGACAAACATTGTATCTTACCGCCATAACATATCTCCACATGTTTCTAATCGATTTGTATGGTTTTTTGTTTTATTCATAAGATCTGGAGTAGAAAAGAACATTCAAAAGGCAGTCGAGCTGTATCGGGAAACAGCTGAACAAGGTTATGCCAGCGCACAAACTAATCTTGGTTTTTGTTATGAGAATGGGACAGGAGTAGAAAAGAACAAGGTGACTTGTTTTTGCACAATATGAATGTGGTACAGGCTTTGTATAGTAATAGATCGAGTATTTTCTTGAAGTTGAATTCTTTTAAGACCTTTTATTTATTTTGGTTAATTAGGACTTTCTGCCGACGCTTAACAAATCTTAACATTATTCAATTAATTACCTCATAATACGGTAGATAGTCTCTAAATTCTGAACAAGTACCCACTTTATATTCCCCTAATAGATAAAAAAGGAAGATTAAATTACTCGTAAGCCATTGGGGGTAAACTCAACGTTCCCTTCCATTCAATCAATGCTTGCTCTTTCTCATGCCCAGTCTTACCTATGCTTCATCTGCAATACCAAAGCAATCTTCTTCCCGACAACAGCAGCAAATTTTTTCCGATTCAGCATCTTATTAATTCTCTTCCTCTTCACGGTCGGTTTCTCATACGCCATGGTCCTTCGTATCTCTCGCCGAAGGTTATTCTGAGAGAGTATAATAGATAATCGCCTATATGCTGCATTTACTATATTGTATGTCACAGGAACTGTGCGTCCTGCTGAGGGCCTGGTATCATTATTCTCGGGAATTGCAAGCCGGGGAGGGGGATTATAGGTCAATCTGGGTGTAGACAGTAGCGGGATGATTTTGGTGGACTTGGTGGATTTTGAACGGGTGAAGAGTGAGATAAAAGTTGGGTTAAAGAGACGAGTGGAGAGACATGGTCTTGAGAACATTTTTTTTTACAGGAAGATTCTTGTCAGATTGATCATCATAATTAACATGCTGTTTCTATTGGTCAGCGCCCATCAATAAATTGTATATCACGGGACTCGTAGGAGTGTGGCTCTCCTAAACAAATCAGTGTCGATGGGTAATCCTCGATTAATCCCTCGAGTATGGAATAATCGCGGGACAAGATTAGCGGTTTTACAATAATAATAATAATAAGGTATTTGCAAACCCTGTATTGCAAAGCGATAGATACACAGTGAACCTGGATATAGCGAAAACGTGGACAAAAACGAAAATTGACTAACATAAAAGAAGTGAAAAATGGGAAACCATTTCTCAAAACAGTCCAAAATTTATTGGTTTTACAACAGAATGATGGTGTAATGGATTTTTATCTGATACAGTAACTTTTGATTAAATTTATCTCATTACATCTGTAATTACAATTTTTTGTCGCCAATATATTTTTTTGCAACATATCAACATTGCACCAGTTATTAAAATTCAGGTGCTTGGAAAACATGCAGAGTATAGCAAGCATAGTATAAGGCGAGCAACAATTGATGTGAAAAACGCGTTTACTTTTATACAGTACAATCAACCCTCTTTATAGTCACGCTGTCGGTAACAATGCAACTTTTGTTGAAAACGTGCTTATAAAGAGGTTGTGACTATATAGAGGGTTTTTCCTATAAGTTCAATAGTAATTGGTTCTCAAACATGGTGTGCTTATAGATGGGGCGACTATAAAGAGGGTTGACTGTATATGAGAATGGTATCATAATGGATATCAGCCAAATTGGGTTTTCCCCTTTCATTAAATCCATCTCACCTTTCACCAATTTCCTTTTTTGCATAATTTGCTTGGGGAGATTAGCTGTTGAGAGCGACCTTACTATACAAGTAACAATGATTTCGATACCGCTTTGAAGCTGATTAATGATGATACAGTAAAATACGTTATCATGACCGCTTTATAGAAATCCACGTGCTGCCCTTCCACACACCGTTACCGTCATTATTTTCGACAAGTACAATTAATTAGCTTCAAAACCATACCAAAATCATCGACTTTCGAAATAAAGATTTTCGACAGGGATTCCGGAGACTTTTGGCAGGGAGTGTAAGATCTATGCTTTAGCGCATACCTGCGTAGCTTGGCAATAAAGTCACTCTATAGTGTAAGAGTAGTCAACTACTACTATAACGTAAATTTTGTTTCTGAAATCAGCTATTCGCAGGTAGCATACCGGGATACTAATACGTCATTGACTAAGCCACTAACCAATACAATAAATACATCACTTCGCGCAAACGTGTCTTACAACTGACCAAAAAAATGACGACTATTAATGACATTAGACACGCGTTGCAAACAGCTGAGAAGCAGTTGGAGAAGGCAGAGGACAGATTAAAGATCTTCAGGGAAGGGGAGGAGGGACAAAGGTTAAAAAAGATGAAGCCTTATTATGCTGAAGAAGCTTATACAAAGAATAGGCTGAGAGAGAAGGAAAAGGAACTGAAGAGGTGGAAAGATAAGTGGGAAGAACAGGTATTGATGTTGCAAAAAGCACTTATTGCCTTTCCTGCCCAGACAGGTAATAACTTTGACTTTGCATTGGAGATGCAGATAGAGCCTATATTGTTTCTATTACTTATGTTGTCCAACTTGTTTCTTCTGCTCCTTAGTTTCTTTTGTAGGAATGGGAAACTTTAATTCAGACAGATAAGCAGCTGGTAGAGGATATACCTTTATTCATCATTTCTATACTATGAATGTAAATCTATTAGCTCATCATACTTTATTTTATCACAGTTATATTAATAATAGTGGTAACAAGACTTTGCTTGAATGTTTATTGAATACATGGAATGAATGCAAAATCTTAGTATCTACATTTTTCTCTAAAACAAACTCGCATGATTGTTTTCTGGATGCTAATAAATTATTCCCATTCTCAGCTAAACCTCATCATATGCTTGGGTATTGTTTTTCAAACCTGTGCTTAACAAATTTAATTGACACTAAAATCTAGAAGTTAGATTACCAATTAATTACATTAAGGCTATTTTCAGTAATAAAGGCCTTGGTAACACGCAAGGTGTTAGATTATTGTCCTTTGCAGATACCAGTTTCTGCCGTACAATAAGTAGACCAAAGTTATGTCTGTATGACTATGATACACATAAAATGGTCTCATTCATTATGCGGAGGGTTAGCTAATGCGGGAGAGCAGTTAATTAGATGAACTATGTTTGGTCGTTGCCTCAGTCTTAACTTTCTTTCTCTTCGACCGTTGATGCCTGTTACTAGGATCTTCCTGTCCACGTTCAATAAAAGGCCCAATTCTCATGATAGCATCAAATTTGTTAGTGCCAAATGAGCGCGCGTGCGCTCATTGCAACGTTACGTTAAGGCAATTCACAGCTACACATGTTACTAAATTAACAGCAAAGAAAGGAAACTATTGATTCTATAGTGCAAAGTCACCGGCCGTTGTATTATCTTGGTTGTTTCTTCCTTCTGACCGACTTCACTAGGCGGTCAAGTATCATTGAGACTTTTATTTCGATTAATTAACGTGACCAGTATACTAAAGAATGAACATAAGAACGGAAGAACCTAGGAACATATCAGAATGAAAGATACGCTACTCTCGTACTAAATAATTTGAATGCAAGACTATTATTTGTGAATATGTGACAAATGCAATAGACTCTGACGACACGTTTTGTGCATTTGTGCATATAAGGATCACATCTTTTTTTTTTTTTTTAATATCAATTCATAACCAAATTGTAAAGGGTGGTATTTGGTTTCTGCCACAATAATTGACGCATTGACAGAAGTTGTAGGGAGTAATTAATTCAACTCTACAATAGAGATTGAGGAGCAGAAGGAACAAGTTGGACAATATAAGTAATAGAAACAATATAGGCTCTATCTGCATCTCCAATGCAAAGTCAAAGTCATTACCTGTCTGGGCAGGAAAGGCAATAAGTGCTTTTTGCAACACGAACACTCGATCTTCCCACTTATATATCCACTTCTTCATTTTCTTTTCTTCCTTGTTCAGTATACGAGCTCTTTTAGAAAAATACCTTCTCAGCCGTTTTAGCTCTTGTCCCTCCTCCCCTTCACCGAATATCTTTAATCTGTCCTCTGCATTCTTCAGCCGCTCTTCAGCCGTTTGCAACGCGTGCCTAATGTCATTAATATTCGCCATTTTTTTGGGCTGGTGTAAGACACGTTTGTCGTCGATGTGATGTATTGATTAGTGGCTTAGTCAATGACGTATTATTATTTCGAATGCTGCACAGAGTGATAATTAATAAAGAATACCAGCAATGGCTACGTCACATACAATCTTTTTTTTGTTGAATAAGGGCCAAACCAACAATCTCCTCAACAAAGGAATGTTATTTACTTAACTAAATTTATAACCTGTGAATAGCTGATTTCAGAATACGGAAAAACAGCCATAACAAAAGTATCAGCAAACAAAATTTACGTGCAGTTATTTAATAAAATAGCACTATTTTTTCGTCAGATTGTTAGCTGGTTATAAAACCAAAGTTCCTAATTTAAAATACGTAGATTATATCAGTACTGGTAGGCTAATATAAATATTAGCAATAAATAGCTTGGGTGTATTAATATTAAATAATTCTCTAATCAAAAAAAAAAAAAAAAAAAAAAAAAAAAATCAAGCAATTTTTAATATAATATACGTTAGAGAATTCCATGCATCACATTATTATTGATTTATTTAACTAACAACATCAAAGACCAAGGTAATGTCGACCTTGCTGCACTATCTGCTCAATTAAAGCTGAATTTAGATCGAGCAACTATTATTTAACGCGTGTATTATTGATTTCTTACAACTTAACTATCCTATTAAATTCATGGAATTTCCTGTTCAACACTAAATCGTTAATTGCGTCCAAGGACTCAAAGTTTTTTAAATTAGCCCGCCTGGGTGACGTACAGAAATCTTTCCCATTTTTAAACATAAACGCTGGATCAAGTAGTTTTCATAAACTAAGAGGACAATCCTTCGTCGGGCACCCGTCGCTCTTTTTTTTTAATGAGCCGAGTAATTATAAGAAACTTGTGCTAGTGCTTTTACTCGCTAGCATATAACCGTGCAGATTGTCTAATCGTGCGTAAATTATTTTGCCGATAGCTTTCTACCTACCAGACTTATTTATTCTGTATCGATATTCAGACTTTTTGACTCGTATTCGTACATTTGCACGTGGACAGATTTTCCAAACTACTATGCAGAACACATGTCCACGCTATATTTGTATCACGGGTCCATAACTACCAAAAAAGGATACTTTGAAATAATGTTGGTGGTGAAATGATTGTCGATGAAATGATTGCCTCCCTTGTATCACTAAGATCGGAAAATGTGTAGATAATAATAGGTAAAAAAATGGATCATATGTCATACGATGCGCCATCTTAACAAGTCGATTAATCTTTTTATCAACATGGGCACAGTGTGACATAGTGGGTAGTATGGCATGAAGTCATTTAGTGATGAGTCTTTGTTCTAGAAAATCAATAATAAATATTACTAAGTTCTCACCGGAAAAACATTAAATTTTAATAGCAATAGACATTGACTAAATAACATTGAATGGTACCTGTTGTCTGAAAACATGGGATTTGGGAAAAGACATTTCGGCACCTTATCTTGATGATCAAGAAAGTATCCCAATTTGTTAATCTGTTGTGTTGTAATGTTGAATTCATTCACTCATAGACTCAATCGTCTTGCTCAGAAGCGAGCCCAAAAGTATGTGAGATAACAGTCCAATGAGTAACATCATTCATTCTTTGTACAAATCATTTTGCCCAAGTGGGCGCGCAGAGAAGATATATAACGAGACTTTATCACTTATTGGTCCTGGACGCTGCTTTAATGACGCTGATCTAAAATTGCTCAACCCGTATTAGTATTGCAAACATGTACAAAAATAACGCATATTTCTTGTAATACATATAATTTTCTACTTACCACGTGACGTTCAAAAATATGTTCTTTGTGCAATGTGCAGCCGTGAGGGTTCCGGATTATCGATAAGGGAAACTTATTTGCCATGCAAGGACAGAACAAACAATACAGTTGGGCAATACAAGCATGAAATTCACGATGCTTGGGTACACAAGATTTGATCGCTTTTCGGTCATAGATATGGCGCACTCATTTGAGCAACACAAGTAGCCATTTTCCCTTTGTTTCCGGATGATACCCCTGAGTTTCACACTTCAAAGGAAAAAAAAAAGGTTTGTTTTTTTTGTGTCGATCTTCTCGACCCTTACTTACTATTCCTTTATTGATAAACGCGAGATAAAGGGTTGAGGGCGAGACCATTTAAACCGGATAATAATTAAATTTTCATTTAAGAGTTACATGTAAACCGTGTTTTAAACTGTTGAAACAGGGGAAAGCAAAGGTCACTCTCTTGGTCATTCCATATTAATACGCTCAATCAAACGTATGTATGGGGAAGAAGAATCATTCTTTTCCTGCATGTTCTTATCAAGATGTGTATATTTATAGTATAAATGATAGATAATGGTAGAGTTATTGTAGCAGCAGATGTTATTATAGTAGTGGATACATTTATGGGATGGTTACCGAATAAATGCGTACATTCTCATTTCCATTCCCATCAAGTTTATTTAAACACATGAAAGTCTTATTGATAATTTGAACTTTGTATACTTTCTAAAACTTTATTCCAAGTCGGGTATTTGCATATCGATCAAACGTCTACCGATATGTCCGTGTGTATATGTATAGTATATTATATATTTTATTTATATTCATATTTTATAATTTATTTATATGTATTAATATATAAAAGCTGCTGCTGTAGTAGTATTTGCCATTGTCTGATCATCGGTTTTACACTCGATCGCTCTTGATTGCAATGATTGGGTTTTATGCGCGCGTCTATAGTATTGAAAATGGGTTTGATTTATACTCATCTTCTATTCACTCAAAATGGATTCCTTGATTTTATATATTAATTTTAGTATATGAAATAAAAGAAAAAGTTTATAATGAATCTATATTGTACAATGGGACACTTTGTTGCAAGATAATAAAAAGCACGTAGAATGATATAACAGAGACAAAAAAGATACGTAATACTATGTACAAGCACGAACCCTTTTATGCTCTAGGCGAACTTCTCTCTTGATTAATTAAATTAGCTAATCGGTCAATCTCTACTCTTGTGGTTAACCTAACAGGATCGTAATTCTCTCCTTGTTGAAGTTGTGGTGACCACTGCTGCTGTTGTTGTTGCTGCTGCTGCTGCTGCTGTTGTTGTTGTTGGTGCGATCGTAGTGTTGGTGAGGGAGATAGTACTGGCGAAGGCGATAGTACTGGTGAAGGCGATAGTGTTGGTGAAGGTGATAATGATGGTTGCTGTTGCTGCTGTAATGATGGCGATTCTTGCATCTGTGATGGTGACTGCTGTCGTTGCAACTGCAATTGCTGTTCGCTTGTATTGACCATACGATATTGAGGCGTCTGCGTAACCAAATTGACATAGTATTGCTGTAACATCTCAGCCGAACAAATCAAACGCCAGCCAATCAGTGTCAAAAATTCCAACTCTAGCGTATTCAACTCTTGGGTCGTTATTCCGCCTACCCGAGCATAATGCGAATTTGTGCAATATGAATCGCACAAAGCTTTCGACGATACCGTAACCGCCGCGATGATGAATCGATGCACGGTTAACGATGATATCGTAAATGTTCGATTACGCTCACATACTCTATCTATATAAATCAGAATAATGAGCAAACAAGCTCGTTCGAGTGATGTATAGCGTACAATACGATGGAGATATTCGGTTACTGTGATTGAAGGGGGAGCACGAGAGTGGAATCGTGTCAGATTCGAGGGAGTCAGACGGATTTGATCGTTGTGTAGTATCAATCGACCAAGCATGTCGGCTAATTTTGATGATGTGATTTTGGGAATGTTAAGTTAAGGATTAGACAGTGCAGCAAGTCCAACGACAAAACGAGAAGGGAGTGGAGCAGTGTTGTAGAAGGGTGTGAGTACGTGGGGTATGTGGGGTACGTGGGGTATGTGGGGTACGTGGGTACGTGGCGAGGAGAGGGATCTGAGATGAATGAAATAGACAAACCGATCATATGTTGTAGGTGGTCCGTGTCGACCAAGTTGAAATACCCGGGTACTTCGATAGGAGCGGAATTGCTCATATTTGTTGCATCACAACTTCCGCCAACAGTTAGAGAATAGCGAACAATAATATAGCTGCTGTGGTCCGGTCAATTGATGTGCAATGTCTTTTCTATTCGTTGTTGTCTATTTGTCTCTTCTAGCCCAAGAACTCGATAGAGTGGAGATATTCGAGTTAACTAATTAAATATTGTAGCTGACCGATATGGGGTGTAAAACTAAAGATATCTGGGAAAGGATGGTTTTTTTTTCTCTATAAGATGATTCACATGTTTTTGGTTTATTTGTGATATTTTGGCAGATTATGTGGTACATGCGGAGATATCCAATAAGAACAGCGAATAATAGTGCATGCCCAATTTGATGCAAATTCGAATGATTTGAAAAAGGATATTAATATTGGGTTAGCTTTTTTTTTTCTTTTTTTTTTCTTTTTTTTTTTTTTCTCCTTTTTTTCCCCCTCTTCTGCTGAGGAGAAGGGGGATAGGGGAGGGGGAGAGGGGGAGAGGGGGAGACGGTTTAGGATTATGTGGTAGCAACAGAGAGGAAAAAACAGAAACGAATGTTCAATATATGCGCAAAGAACCACTTTTTTTCATTTCTCGCCTTTTTTGATGTTCGTTCTGTGCGGCGGTGATCTTGTTGTGTGATTTGCAATTGCTTTATTCATTCCTGGTTATTATTCGTATCCTCTTGTTTTGGCTGTTGAACGTGCGTGGTGCGTTTCAATGCTGTCTGTGGTGGGTTTTTAAATCATGTTCGTAAGCAATTATATACAATTGCGGGCAAATGAAACATAATGGCAAATGATTATCAATGCGCGGGTCCTCCCTGTTTCCCTATTTTCCAATAATGTAGAATTCGTTAATGGGGACCGTGACCAGTTAACGGCATTCTTCTGTCCACGTGTTTACGACAACGGCAATTATTCTCCCCGGAAATGCAGGGGTATATTGCTGTTATCTCACGTTGACGTCATCCTCTTATGGATGGTTTTATGCTACTTAATGGAGCCTTCCCCTTTTCCGATGAAATTTATCTGGGGGATAATGAGGGTTAGAGTTAGTGTCACTGCATAATAATAATAATAAAACGGAAAGAGGGAAAGAAAATGTAGGTTAGAGTTTTTTTTAAGAGGGAAAAGTTAAAATTTCCCCTCTCCCTACCTCGACTTAAGGGCAAGTAATTTTGAATTTTGAATTTTGAATTTTGAATAACCGAAAAGTTGTTACTGCTTACTCTTCTTTTTTGTAACAGAGCATATTTTTAGTAGACTTGTATATATATTTAGCTTGTGTAGTCCTCTTCATCTTATATTTAGATGGTGGCGTGGCGGTATCGTAAAATAGTATCCTTTTGCAATAAAGTTTATTTATATCTGTAAAGTTATCATTGTTATATGATTGCTCTATTCTTTGTTATTGGTGCCTTTTTTTTCTGCCATTGGGCGTGATAACATTGAAAACGGGTTTAAATATATTTGTTTCATTGTCACACTTTTCGACTGCTATTGTCTATTGTTTTCACAATCACAGACCTGTATCATATCAGTCAATCAGTTGCCAAACTTGCCTCAAAGCTGTTACATGTGTACGATAAAATGAATAAAATGCAAATTCCCCGTCTATCGGAGTAGTGTGACCGAGTATGCCGATGAGGGTAATCCCGGTGCAAGATTATAGCTAACCGACCGTCCGCAGCATATTCGTGTTGACATTGACTACTTATGGAAGTCTCGTACTCCGTGCTCCTTTACATTCAAACTCCGCATAATCATATATCTATGTTTCCCCTTCTCTTTCCCTGCTTTAAATCCCAGTACTAGTATCAAAAACGTCAGTTAACGCAATACAGTATCAAACTCCTTTACATCTCATCTTGTTCACTTCTTTGACCCTTTGTCATATAAAGAACTCCCAAATTAATTACTTTTGCCACGTTCCACTATTATCAGTTGATTGTTATCATACAAAATAGTCTTTGTTTACCATACATATTATTACCAATTCCATTATTCAGCTATTAACAATACCCACACTATACTCAATACCTATTCAACTTTACAACTTTCACAGTGAGTGATAAGTAACCATTAGACAAAGACTTTTCAGAATATATCAGAGACAACTCAACTCACGCTTGACCCCACGTCCAGTGCGAGTATGTTGCGCTCTACCCACAGAACCCCCCCAACTGTAACAGACTATGAAAACTTGGGCTTACATTCAGGCGCGGCTGCTGGCAATCTCGGTACGTCAATTATGCTATTCTCTTTATTCGGTTACATTAAGCTCTGGCGAAAACAAAAAACCTGCTTCGAGTATGCTTCGAGTATGCTTCGTCGCGTTTTGTCGACATGTCGTATATACAGTATGTCCTTCTCCGCGAGTGTTTATTTTGACTTTTATGTAGATTACGTCATCGATTTAGTGGATATTTCCCTAAAATATACACGCTTCCGCCTCTCGTATACTACGAACAGCTCGAATCGTCGTCTGTTCATGTACAAATGATAATAATAAACATAGTCTATGAGGAGTAAATAAACACTTGCCCTTGCAATCGCTCGGAAAGACGTACTTTCATGCCTGCATATTCACTACATACTGAGCACATATCCGACATGTTAACCTCGTCCAAAATGGACATGTCGTTATCAAACATTAGAATATCAAATCCCAGCCGCTTATTCATCCCGATTTTGCATCTTTTTCAACCACCCCAACTTTCTACGCTTTCCCCTCCTCTCTTTTATCAGGCCTAGTAAAATTTGCTCTCGATCACGGCCAACCAATCGATTCAGTTCTCAACGGCGTTCTTCCGATACACGCTGCCTGCGTCAATGGTAACGTCAAAGTATTACAATATCTCATCGAACAAGGGGCAAACGTAAACGCACCCCGTCATCCTCGTCGTTCTAATGGCGAAAAAAGCCGTGCTTCTGGCCATCCCATCGGCACCACTGGATCCACTCCGCTCCACTTTGCCGCTGCCAAGGGCTGCCTCGAAATCGTCGAGTTACTACTAAAACATGGAGCTATCGTCGATGTAACCGATAAATACGGATCAACGCCAATATCTGTAGCATTATCAAAGAATCATCTTGCCATCGTAGAGATACTGAAAGCATATAGCATTAGACAGCAGGACGAAAAGGCACGACAAAGCGGATTAGAGGGCGGGAAATCAAAGCGACCAAAAGAAAAATCAGCAAAACTTGTAAAAAAACTCAGACCCATTCTATATGTAAGAGAACCTACATCACCGACCTATATATCATTTCCCCGTCGACCAAGCCTGCCTGTACAGCTCGACCACCACCACAGATTAACCATTGGTCAGTCGATACTCGAACGACAATCAATTCATTCGTTCGAAACCATCTCGCAACAAGATAATCTGTCTCGTGAAGATCTATCCATTCGAGAAGACGACGACACAACTGTCGATTATTCCGACAAGCCATCGATAGATATGTCTATCAATTCGCTCGATGACACTCGAGAAAACAGAAGACGCTCACCGACTCGAGAACTCTTCCGTCGCAGCTTTAACATCAGTCGTCAATTCAAATCACCGTCTCTCACATCTATAACATCCAAAGCAAGTTGGACACAAGATCACCAATCTAACCATCGCCTATCCAACTCTCTTCCCACACCATATTCCAACGTCTCATCCAGCGATTTGCCCATGACTCCCCCTGAATCGCCTGTCAGACTGTCCATCGTCGCTGCCGAACAGCACGACGCTATGGATATCATATCCGAGTCGGACATACTCCCACCGTCTGCCTTTGTTCGGGAGGGTGATGTATCCGATAGTAACGAACAAACGTCATGGTGGGAACAGGGGGAGAAACCCGTTTTCGGAAGCAAGAGCACGCTATCCGGATCATATTCGACAAAAACCAAGGGACACACTCGATCGAGTAGCAGTGGTTACTTTTGGACCAAGAAGGAAAACGATGGAGAGCGTAAGAGTGTGCTCGGTAAACTGACTGAATTTGTGCGGGGAGGAAAAACCTAGTGAGATTGAAAAAGAGAGAGAGAGAGAGAGAGAGAGAGAGAGTCGCGTATGCAGTTGTGTACAATGTTTTATACATCTGAAAATGGGAGAGATTATTCGAACATTTATTCCTTAAAAAAAAATTAAGCTGATTTGTACAAACATTTCAACAGACATTGACTTTCTCATTGCTATTGTATATGAATAGATGTATCTATCATCGGTTATGTTTATCTTATCAAATTCCTGTTTTTCCCTTCTCTATTCTTCTATTTTTTTTTTTTGAAGAATAGTAGATGACTGTAAAGTTTTTTTTCTTTCTTTTTATATTTTCTTTGCTTTGTTTTCTATTTCTTTTATCTTCAAAGATGTATATAGCCTCTTCTGTGTTTATTTCTTTTATTTATCTTTTTTTTGTAACCCATACCCCAACCTTTTTCTTGGCTTGCTTTTTATGTGTTTTTATCTTTTTTCGTTTTCAAAAGTCTCATCACTTTTTCAAACTTGGGACTATATTGTTTGGAAGGTAGACGCCTGGGTTTAGAAGCGATGGGAAACTGTTCCACTCACACTGTACAGTTGTTTTATTTTACAAGATTTTCGTATATTTGAGATTCATCATCTTTTATTCAATAACCCTTTTACACATTGGGCAATTAAGTTGTGCGATTACATTGAAATTGGCTTCTTACATAAAAAGAAGAAAAACCAAAAACAAATAAAGTCAATGACATTTGCATGCGCAAATCAAAGTGGTTAACGCTTTTGTTATTCAACGCTATGATTAAGTGTCTTTGGGTATTATGCTTATGAAATACCCATCGCATACGGGAGCGTTTCGGGATGTTAACAACCTTTACAATAATATTACATGTTAGTACATCAGCATATAACACGACATGAGAGTGCTGCCACATGCCCTTTTACGGCTTTCAGACAGAGCAAGATTACGATTCTGATCCCAAAGAACACATTCCCGCAAAGTCTTCCCGTTTGGATTATCCATCATTAAGCTTCCTCATTGTCCCCCATTTACATCTAAATTAGGATTGATAGTGTAGAAAGGGAGGTCAAGTGACCATTGTATTACCGCAATTAAAAATATTTAACGAAATACTATTTGTCCGTTTACAATATCAGCAGACCCGCATGTTTTCGCTTATCGATGAAATGCTTGTCCTGTTAAAAGATGTTTACGTGAGACAATAACAAAACTGTTTGTCAAATGATCACACCCTAGTTAGACTATAAAGTTCTAAATTTAAAAAGAATTGATCGCACCTCCACAACCAGCGATCCTGACACGTGTAATGGGAACGTGTTGTGTACCCAAATAGTTGACTATAGAATACCCAGAGGTATTAACACCAGAGAATATTTGGATTATTGGTGTAGCTCAAGAGCCGTCTATTATTTACAACGTACATGCACTATTGGACAGATTTATACGATCTAATTGCCGCATAAAGTATATGCGGTACAGCGGCTTTGACCAAATTAAGGAGATTGGATCTGGAGGTTACCAATATCGATTTTTTTACGTGTATTATATTAAAACATCTTAATTTCTATATCAACTTTTTGGTTATATTTATTAAGTCTAACAAAATTAATATATCGGGAAGGGATTCTGCGCGAGTTAGCTCATAACATATTGACCTCTTAAGTCTAACGGTCCTTATTATCCCATAAATAAATCTAACGCTTTTCTTAAATCTAACGAAAAAGTGCATATCTACAACTTGGTTTGTGCTGGTTAGCTCATTAAAAGCATATGTTTCAAATAATTCTAACGAAAAAAAATTCAGTCTAACGATTCCGCCTTGCAGGAAATGGTTTTGCGTAGGCTAGCTTATTAAATAGTATATTTTTCATTTAAGTCTAACGATTCTGCCTTGCCGGGAATTTTATATGTCTAACGAAAAAGTAATATATCAGAAACTGTCTTTGTGCGGGTTAGCTCATAAAATATCATATTAAAAAATCTACGGAATTGTCCCAACTTTTCCTTAGTCAAGTGAAAGAGTAGTGTATCAGAAACTGTTTCTGCGCGGGTTTAGTTCACTAAATACTATAATTATAATGTGTAAGTCTAACAAAATTAACTTTAATGTTACCCAGAAAATTCTGCAGTATTGTCCCAACTTTTCGAACTTATGGAATTGGCTAGAGAGCTAGCAGTTGCCAAAATTACCAGCCAAAATTAAGCAAATTTCAGTACGACTTATTGCGCATTGAGTTCGGGCACTTTTCCGGCACATTCCTGCTACTTTCTTGTATCTGTGTTCGAAGCCTATCATAATACTGAATATAGAAAAGTATAAAGCCATGGACGTAGGACAGCTTCGGTTCTTAGATAGCTTTCAACATATGGGAATGGGACTTGATAAATTAGTTGAGTGCCTAGGTGGAAAGCTCGAAAAAATTTCCTTAACTGTCAAGCACTTTACAGAGAAAGGTTATTCGATAGAAAAGATTAAATGAGGCATGCTGCAACAAAACCAAACAAAGTAAACATTCTATTATGTGACATAAATGAGAGGCTGATATGGCTGAAAGTTAATTAATTTGATAAATAATATTTTGATTAACTTGTACACAAATTTATGTAGCAAACTTTCCATTACTATCTAAAAATTATACATGATTAATATAGGATTATGTATATAAAAAAATATATAAATATGAAACTAATTTATATCAAATCCACTATAAAACCAAAGAATTACAGCCCCATTAGAGTATTTTAAAGAGAAAAAATCGCCCCTACATTTTTAAAATCAAAACAATACCAAAATTCTCGAGGAATATCTAGATCAAGAAAAAATCACTTATAAAATTTACCAAGAAGAACGAAAAATGATAAAACATAAACGAGCATTAACACCAACTTATGAAAAAAAAAACCGAAAACTTGAAGAAACGTAAAGGAAAACAGTTTAGCATAAAAGCTTCCCACAAGGCCTCTGCTGATAAAGCAACCTATCAATGAAAGATCGTTCCAATTTTGAAGGACTGCTTGAATGCATTTGTTGAGCCTTAATTCGCGTTTCACTACTTTTATATAATTACAACCAAAGAGTCAAAATTACATAACGATAATTCAATTTTTGCAGACATAAATTTATTATCTTTATTATAGTAATAGTAATAGTAATAGAATGCGATTGTTCTTGAAAATATAAATAGTAATAAAAGCACCAGAGTGATTGCATGGGAGGAAAGTACTCGGACCCAAAGTCAGTGTTGAGTATAACATATTCTTTGGTCGCTATCTAAATTTCGGAATCTTTTTTATCATTGCTATTACTAATAACATTGTCATTATCATCTATTTATTTTCATTGTCTCATCTGAGCGGTTACATTTTCCTTCAATCCAACGTTGAATTACCTCAATAGTCTTCTTCCACGGAGTCGTTCGTCGAAGATAAAAATTTCGTATTGTGGAAGCTGCAACAGCTTTTCCTTCACCAAATAACTTGTGAATTTCAAACGTTATTTCATCAAATGAAAGTTTTGGATCCGATTCAGTTCTTCTGTCGTATAATCGTTTTAGATCGTTCCATAACTTCGATTCTGGCGAGTAAATTTTGTTCGCCGCTGACAGTTTTGTCATGGATTGTAACTTCATCCTTTGAATTAAAGCTCCCGTATTATTAGGCCGACCATTATAAAGTATACTATTTAGCCACAGGCCGAGAGTGAAGCCAATAAATACTCTAACAAAGAATTCGCTTGCATTTTTCGTAGTGTTATTGGTGATTGTTTTATTACTTAAACGATGTTGCGTTGTGGTTGATTTCTGTTTTTATAATAAAATACACTGCGTATTGGACATACAGGGGAACATTGTGAAAGTTCCCAATAATACGTCATTGATTAATTCGATTGATACAGTATTTATTCTTGAACATGAGTTAGGATCTTTGTTCCTTAGTATCTTCCCAATACAAATGAGCGACCAACTCGAATCCGTGCGACAAAAAATTACGAAGGCTGAGGGAGAGATAGACCGCATTAAAGCTCTTTCGGCTGATGAGCCAGAGCGGGCGGTGTTGTTCCCACTCTTCCGTCTTTGTTTTCCTTATTTGATGGACTACAGAAAGAAAATAATATTCTGTTGAAAGAGTCAAGGAGAGGTAACGATTTTGTGACTCGGCGTAGAGTAGTGTGTACATAGGGTAGAGTAGACATAGTAGTATGGGCTGTAACATAACTTTCTTACTTTTTTTTCATATCCGCACTTTCGACATCCTCATTCTTCCATCGATCAAGTAGGTGAGGTAACATGCTTAGAGTGCAAGACATAATAATTGTTCATCTTTAATAGTTGACTGATTGACATTTTTGCCTTTTCCGCATTGAAGTTGATGACAGTCGTAAGTACTCTCATTTGCAAGCTGATTTCCATTCGTATTCATCTTTCATTGAACCTGGTTTTAATATTAAGCATGGTGAATAATTGGGTGTATTTGTTTTTAAAAGATAATGGGGAAAACTTGTAAACTAACAATGTTAAAATGCTCACAAATCGCAAGGCTTGTCACACAATGCAAAATACTAGCAAACTATTTAATTCTTCCCATTGAAACTGCCACGCTTCTATTACCGCGCGCTAATAAATTGTTCTTATTCTCTGGCGGTAGTACAAGTGTGCGATGTAACACAATAAATGTTCCGAGATTGCTTGGAAAATCATTCAAACTATGTCGTCCGCTCCAGGTGTTGTTAAGGATATTCATAATCCAGCAATTGATAACTTGATTCAATTCTCCTTGGAAAGTGAAAACAAACGCCTAAGTCTTGAATGGATTCCTTGTTCCGAAATCACTGATATCAAGTCAACTCCAATAGACGCTGTCCACTATGCTATCCGCAAAAAAACGCTCGAGATAACGCTGGTATCACTTGGAAATGATGAGATATGTACACCAACACTTGTAAGTGAGTTTGCTAGAACATACTCACTTCCAACACACGAGTACAGTAATGATGTCAGTCACTTTAGACGATATGCAAAATGGCTTAATTATCGCAACGAACTCATAATTGGATTTACTAAATATGATGATAACTATTACATGGTTGCTAATAGAAAGTTTTACCACTGTTATTCTCGATATGGATTCTGCTCCGCATGCGGAATACTCCGATGTAGTCCCGTGTGGTGCATTTGCGGTTATAAACAATTATCCAATGGATGGACTAGCAACAATAAGCAACTCGATGAGTTTATCAAGAAATCTCAATTACAAACAAACTCAA